GCAGGATCAAAAACATTGCCACTGGCCTGGTTTTCCTCTGATGGCAGCTCTTTGGGAGCATGGGTTTTGTACCATGCATCAGTGGAGTTCACTAAGAAAACAATCTTGTGGGGTGGGGCTGAAACCTTTGTGGAGACTGGTTTTTTCTGTCTTTTGTAAGAAATAACAAAGGCCTCCTCGGAAGTGTCACCGCAGCTGTTTCAGTTGCCCAGTGACACTGATCATGAAGTTCTCACCTTCCCCAGAAACCCAGGGTGAGTCCGGCTTCTGGACACAGGATAAAAGCCGTCCCACGCTGGCTGAGCCCATTTGTCTCCTTACGAACGTTATCGCTACTGAATGCAGCAGCTGCATATGACACTTTCTCCTGCAGCACCTTTGACGTTACCATTTGTCAGCGATTTAAGGTGTGTTTGTTTGTTTTGTTTGTGGTCTACTTCCTTCATAAATCAGATCATAATATGGGGAAGTAATTTTCAGGGTTTTTATTACACTAAAGTTCACCCTGCCTCCGGCAAGTCTGGTGCTACGTAGCTGTGAGATAACCTGGGCAGCATGCGAAGCCATTAGCAATTTATAGCGACTGCAAGCACGAAAACCTCCGATGATGCAGAGCGAGGTGAAAGCTTGACTGGCCCGATTCTGGTGCGGCTGAACGGCTCAAGCAGCGTACCTGGCACAAATGAGCACGCTGAACGTGTGCACGCTGTACTTCGTTATCATTGAATCGTCTTCTGCGTACTTAATTTGATTTTACGTGTTTGCTTTCTCATGCGTTACTTATTTTGCTTGAATTTTGAGGAAAGTAGACTATCATTACCTAAATATATTAGCCAATGTAATGCCGTGTTTAATGATTAAATTAATCGCAAGTTTTATGTAAGGCGCTTTGGAACACCAGGAAGAAATGCAAATGTCTCTGTGCAAGTACTAGGGTCTTAATAAGAATGGATCTTAGGATAGAAAAAGAAGAATTTGTAATTGTATCTGTTTGAACTGTGTTTCTAAAAGTAGTATAACCAGAAAAATAAATACCTTGTAATTAAAAATTACTGAATTGGCACCAATTGTAGCTGTTTTAAGGAAACTGGCAGAAATCCAGATTTTGAAATGTGGGTAGGAGATTACTTCTTTTAATCTCAGAATTGCAGGAAAAAACGCAGGGAAGTTAGATGAAATTAAATCATTGAGCATGGATATCAGCACATTCAAGGAAAAAAAAAATCAAAGTAGCTGTAATTTATATTCAGGCTGAGATTCAGTGAAGTCTGTTGTGCAGACAGGGTGCACATTAGCATCATAACAAAACCTGGCTTGGAGGAGGGGGTCGGGGGAGAGCTCACTGCTTGAGTTGCTTTGAAGTTTTATTTTTATAAAGTGCTTTTTTTCTTTTTTTTTTTTCCCCTTATGGCAGCAAAACTGTAACAGGATCAAAACCTCTCCTGCTGCTCTGTGTCAGATGGCCTGCAGCAAGGTGACTCATGGTTATTCATCTCCAGTGCTCAGGTATATGATAGATGGTTTACAGTGCCAATAGCAAAAAGGAAAAGAAAAAAGGTCTGAATGCAATTACTCATTGATCTGGAAGAATATAATACGCACAAGGGAGAGAGGGGCAGAGAGGAGACGTGCTATAATGCTGCTGCTTGTTCTCGGCACCGACAGCCCAAACGTGAGAAGGAAGGGGAGGCTGCCAGCAATGCTTTTGTCCATTCTTGAAGCTAAATCCTCCCAAACTGACCAACTGGTAATTGTGTCCTAAAAAACGCAGCATCCTTAATGTGCATTAAATGATATAACAAAATAAAACTAGTTTAGAATAGGGTCGTTACTAATTTGTAAGTGTCTGTCCCCTATCTGTTCCATACAAATAAAAACTACAACTCATACCAACACTGTATCTGTAAATGTTCTGGTTGAAGTGTTAAAATCTGCTTCATTTCTCCAATTTTAGATGTGGTCCTGACCTGCAGATTAAGAATTGGGGTGTATTTATAGACACATACGGGGACTAAAGTGAAAATGAAATGGTACAAACACCTACATAAAATAAAACTTTGGAAAAATTCGACTTGGCGTCGAGAGCGTCAGGTTTTCGGTTTGATCCCAGTGCCCCTCTTTCCCCTAAAGCCATTGTACTCTGTCAACATCAGAACTTCATTTAAATTGACGCATTCCTACTAACTGGTTTGGTTTTCAATAAAAGGATGCTTTTTAATTTTGTCAAAGATGTTTCATCTACCTTTTCTGGCCCAGCAGCCTCCGTAGCGCATGACATCGGTCTTCGCAGAAACCTGACAGATGGTGATAGTGGCTTTTGGTACTGCGCAGGGCTCTGGTGCGGCGGGATGGTAGAAATTAAGTCAACTGTGATGGCCGAAGGGGTTGTACGCTCAAATATTTTGTCACTAGACCTTATCTTGCCTTGGCCAAGTGTCCTTCATGCTGCTAGACACCAGCCGAAGTCGGGAAAGAGCCGATTTGCTCAGCCGCTCTCCCGGGCCGCTGAGCCACGGCTGGCTGTGCACCTCCGGAGCGGGGTTCTGTTGGCTGGGCCGGCAGCGCCGGCAGCCCCCGCCCGCAGATCCGCAGGTGCCCAGGCAGCAAATCCCGGGAAGGAGCGTCCAGAGGCAGCACCGGGCTGTGAACCCGGGCAGGCACCCGCCCCTGCATTTATGTCCCTTGACGTCTCCCGGTTGTTTCTTCCCCCACCTCCTCTCACCAGCAGTTCTGCTGCTTTTTTTAGTGCATCTGGTGAAACTGCTCCGAGACACAAACACCGCCCGTGAAAGGCCGACTCTGGAGTCCTGGTGCAAAGTGACCGGAGTCGCCTTGCCTCATACCGGCAGAGCTGTGCAGGCGTTGTTCACGCTTTAGCATTTTTCGGATGCAATTCTGCCAGCGTCTAAAAGCCATAAATAAAAGCAAACTTTCTTAAATCTGTTAGTTTCCACGGGACAAGGGAGCTCAGAAAGAAAGCAGCTGGTCCTGAAAAATAAGGTTGGTATTTATCCCATTTAAATGTTTTGAGACATTTACGCTAGTTGTGTATCTAAAATACGACTGTAAGTTAACATGTGGTTAAGACCTAATGAACGAGACTTCCTCCTACTGCGATGTTACGTGCTCTGGCCTTGCTGTCTGTCCTTTGCCCCATTTTCTAGCTGCTACTTCTCAAGCGCAGGACCAAGGTGCAGACGTGGCCCAGGTGGATTTGGCTCTTCCTGCAGGTAGCGGCTCGCCGGTCAGTTGGTTTTGTGCGTCACCGTGGCTGCAGCCTGGTCTGCTTCATGCGATACACCCTTCAGATCAAGAAGGCACATGTACCAAATCTAAGTCATCTCTCTGTCTTTTCATCTTTGAGAAGTACTATAAATAGGAGTTGAAAAAAACCCCATCTGTCAGGTAGGTTGTGTTGCCTTGGGGAAATGTTTTGTTTTGGAAAAAGCAGCCTACTGCAAAGAGGGCAGCCAGAAACAACTATTTTTACAGGAGGGCATAATTCTGCACTGGGAGAGGGGAGCGTAAAATCACCTGAGTTTGATCATGTTTAATGATGTTCCAGTACAAACACACAAGGAAACGCAGACGACTGCTCGGCGAGGGCAGGAACGAAATCACAGGATGAGCTTAACTCGGGCACGTAATCATGGTGCTGACCTGGGTGCCAGCCGAGAAGGGGGCAAGACTTAGAACAGAAAAGTTTATACTCATGTTTTTTGGCCTCCAGTCTACCTCTTCCTTCTAAAACGTTCCGCGTATGCCTTTGTGGAAAATCCAGGCAAACATTCCTGCGCAATCGCTGGCGTGACGCACGCCACAACGGGGCCTGCTGGGGCAGGCTCGGGGGAGTCCGGGTGACTTACTCAGGGCATTGCTTTTCCATTCAGCCTCAGGACCCTGCTTGTGTTTGCCACCATGGGGTTTAGATGACTTTCCAGCGTGGATCTTGAGCGGGCGTGGGGCTGGAGGGGTGCAGGCTGCCCGGAGGGGGAAACCCTGGAGCAGCTGCAGCTCAGCTGCAACCTCTGCCCCTTTCCCTCTAACCGTAGGGACCACCTTGCATGAAAAAGTGCTGCAGACAATTGATCCTCCTTGTACTCTCCGCTCTGGTCAGTAATAACCCCCTGCTTGGTGAATCATCGCTTAAGAGGTCACACAACCACAGAGAGATGTTTTCATTGTTGCCTCTCGCACCGCACAAACACAGGCAGCGCCGTCCTGTCCGCGTCCGTCCCTGCGCGGGCAAGCTGCAGCTGCGCTCCTCGGAGGCGCTTGTTTAAAAAAACGGAGGATGTCCTATGAGCTGTGTTTACCAAGAGCTCAAACAGAGGGTACGTGTGGCAGCGCTCGCCTCTGCGCCGTCCCAGGAGCTCGCAGTGGCGGGGGGCTCTCGGAACCCTTCCCTTGGTTGGGTGATGCTGGTGGATGCACCAGACTAAACACGGCGTTTAGATGCAAGCTACTGTCTTCTACTGCCGCCTTGGATGTGGCTGTGGCGTTGTGGTGGATGGTGGTGGTGATGTGAGCGATTTCTGCAAACTCCCGTGGCTGAAAGACTAGCAAAGACCACGCGCGGGCTCGGCAGTGCCGGGCTGGGGGAAGCCCCGTGTGCGGGGCTGCGGGTCCCCAGGCTCGCGGAGGAGGAGGTTTCAATAGCGTGTTGGATGCTGTGCCTGGGGTTGGTACGCGTTAGTCCTACAAAGAAACAATTGTAAAGCTTTTCCCGCTAGCGGAAGGGCGAGGTGCGGGAGAGAGATGCTTTGCTGTCCTGGACCGTGCTGTGAGGGAGCTGGTGGCGCGGCTGGAAGAGATGTCAGGTTTGCCAGTGTTGGCTCAGCTGAGCTAGTTCCCGGTGAAACATTCCTCCTTGGAGGCAAAGAGCATCGAGGCAGCTCTCCGTGCGCCTGACGGGCTGTCACACGCTTATCGGTTGGTACCAAAAGAGCGCTGGCAGCCTTTGATAGCTACAAACAAAAGCAGGATGTTTGTGGTCTAACTGAAACAAGCCGAGCTTGTGCCTTTAGCCAGGCGGTGAAAGATGCTCGGGGCTGGAGCAGCTCAGCGCAGGGCAAGGGCAGTCATATGCACGCTCCAGAAACGTGCTCCGGCTGGCTGGAGTCGCGGGGTGCATGGATCCCGGTGTGGGTTTGAGACACGCCGACGGTCTTCGGATGGTGTATTGCTCCCCGTTTGCTGCTGTTTACCTTTTTCTTGAGCGTTGCAGCAAGCAACCAGCAAGTTCAACCAGCAAGGTTGAGCATGGGAAGCACAGAGGCATGGTCCTTGGCAGGGTCACAGCACGGGGTACAGCCGGTGGTGGGACAGACCCTGGGGGAGAGACCCCCACCGCTGCCACGTAACAAGCCGTCGGCGGGTGTTAGTCATTTTGGTCCCTGGGCACGGCGTCACCACTGCGCGCTGGCTTCCCACCCGGGGGGGAAGGGAAGGGGAAAGGGAACTGTGGGGTGGGAAAGGACCGTGTCCTCCTCTCAGCTTGCTACTCAGCACTTCTGCACCTCGCAGGAGCCTGCCAGTGCCTGCTGGTGATGCCCCTGCCGTGAGACCGGGGTGTCCGCAGGCTGGTCCCCAGCTGCGCAGGGCGCTGGGCAGGGCAGGGCCAACCCAGGCAGGCAAACCTGCCCGCTGTGCCTTCGTGAGCCAGACCCGCCTCTCTGCTTCCCTGCGGCGCGCGTGTCCTTGCGAGCCCCACCCCTGCCTCTCTGCTTCCCTGTGTGCCACAAGAAAATGAAAATCCAGCTGATATCCTGGTAAAACCATCTCATTTCTGAAGGGTTAAAGAGAGTGAGTGAAAAGGCTTTTGCCTTGGGAGTCTCCACTTGCAGATGTTCCTTTGCCGTGACATCCTCCTAACGCATCCCTGCCAAGGCACCAGCTCTTTAAATCTCCCTGGTTTAAAATTCCTGTGACGCCTCCCTATAACCAGTTTTACCATCACTTGGCAGTGCCTCACAACCCCCTCTCGAGGAATTTGGATCATGACGTACTGGGTTGATCAGGGATAAAAAAAACGAGCTGGTGCGACCAGAAATGATTGAAACTTCCAGGGCAGAAGGTGGGACATCACAGGATTATTGGTCCGCCCTGCAAATGGCCAACACCCCCATCCATCCTCGTCCCCACCTAGGGAATGGCAGCAGAGAGCATGGAGGGGGCTGTGTCTACCTGGCTGTATCTACCTGGAGATACCGTGTCACCCTCCTCACCTCCTCTGTCACCCTCCTGGCGCCCGCCTGCCCCGTCTCTCACGTGCTGCCTGGCCCCAGGTTTCGGGGCAGCGCCCCGGACCAGGACTCCCCGCCCTGGTTCTCCTCCTGTCTCCCGTGGCTTCGTGTGGTGGGCAGAGGAGCAGCCAGCAATGCCGGAGGGGGGGGGTGTCAGGCTGGAGATGCCTGCAAGACGGATCCGGCTGGGAGCAGCGCAGCCCCCACAGCCTTGTGGCATGAAGTCCCCGTGCCGGGGGGAGCGGGGAAGGGGGCGGGATCCCAGCAGCAGTCCCCTCCTCCGGCTCAGCACAGGTGGAAACAGCAGCCAACTGCTCTCTGACAGACTGTGGCTATTTCGTGCCTACAAAATACCTGGCCAGCAAGATTTAGGTGTGGATAGATTTTATGTGATAGAAATACATATTATTGGGTGCAAGCACTGTTAGCATCGGAGCAGCGCAGCACAGGGCTGTGGGGTGGGGCAGCGTAGCTCAAACCTTCATGGGAGACTCATGCTCAGAGACCTCCTGCCGAGGCAATTCCTAAGGATGAGGGTCGCTCTGTTTATTTATTCTGATACAGTCGGTAATGACACAGTACGGTGCGGGTACCACGGCCCGCTCCGGCTGCGTGGCCCAGCCGTGCCCCAGCGGGGACACCGGTCTTCCAGCAACGCTCCAGGGACTTCTCCTCTCCCCCAGCTCCTCCCAAGCGTCCTGCCCTCTTGCAGGGCCTGGTGCTGGTGAGACAAACTGGCTGGAGGAAATGAGAGTTTTTAAAATCATTTATTATTTAAATGTCCAGTCTGCTGGAGGTGAGCCAGGATCTGATGGGGATTGGGGTCAGTGACTGTGGCTGCCAGCCACCGCGTCGTTATGTCAGCGAGGGCTGACGTCTGCGTGGATTTCTGGAGCGGGACAGAAGCTGTGTGCCTTGGGGATGCCATTTGCTGAGCGTATTAATGCAGGGAAGTGTAACGATCGTAGGACGGAAGAGACCTCATCACTGTGTTTGCACAGAGGTAGCATCTTGCTCCGAGCAGCCCCTCTCGGGCGGCCAGCGGTGCGTGCCGGGGTCCCAGCGGGCGGTCTGATCTGATGCCTCTCCCCTGGTCTCTCCCACAGAGACATTGCTTTGGTTCCTTCTTCTTGGCTCTGTCTCAGCTATGCCCGTGTGCTGGGGTGGGCAGTCCGGAGCGGCTGCAGGAGAAACGGATCAGGGCAGGTTCTTACGGCAAGCTCGGCCACTTCTGGGCCAGCACGAACGCCTATGGCGTGTCCTTCCCGCCCCTCCGCACGCTGCCGCCTGCCTCCTCCGCCTCCTTTGGGGAGCTCAGCAGCTCAGCCGGGTGCAGCAGAGGAGGAAGGACTGCGAGGTCTCCCCGGGCTCTGTGCTCCTCTGTCCTGAGCGGGGAAGCCCTGCGGAAGAGGGGCTGCTGGTGGCCGGGTGCTGGAAAGCCACGGGAGCAGAGGGTGACAAAGCACAGGGGAGTCCAGAGCGTCCCAGGGAGGTGGGCATCCCCTGGGGGACGCCAAAGCTGGCTTAGTGCAAGGTATTTGCTAGCAAGAGAATTGGGTCTGCTGTGCAGCCACACTCCTGAGGCACTTGGGCTTTTCACAGAGCTGGTGCTAGCCTCTCCTCAAGGGCTGGTGTGGAGGACGCCCAGGGTGGGACCATCTTCTGTCCTGCTCCTGCTCGGCACAGGGGTGGGCAGGTCCCTGCCGTTCCCTGCGGGAAGGAATGGGACATTCAGCACCAGGCCGGGAGCTCGGCTCAGCCGGTGTCTGGGCAAGGACGGTCCCTACCTGGGCAGGCTGTCCTGGTGCTAGAGCTCAGTAGATGATCCACTACCCCTAGGGCTGCCATTTTCCACAGCGTCTGGCACATGAAACGCCACGTATGGGCACTTCTTCACGTTGAGGCACACGAGTTTCTCGAGCGATGCTGTCTTAACTATCTCAAAGCCAGTTGCTCCGCCAAATGTACTGGGTTTCCAGTACTCTGGAGAGCAGATGGGGTTTCCAAGAAGCCCCTTGAGGGAAAACGGAGCTCCTATCTCCACCATGCTTTCTCCTAAAATGCCATTGGGTTGGAGTTTCTCAAGCAGCAAGCCCACATAAAACTCCAGAGCGTCAATGTCTCCATAGAGCTCTTCCAGCTCTGCCGCCTTCTCTTCCTCTCCTGCATCAAGTGAACATCTGAGAGTAGCAAGGGAATCGCCCCCGGCAAGGACTGGCCTTGCTGTGGGTGATGGGAACGTGGCAGCTCCCGCAACCCAGGCAGCAGTGAGCCCGGCTCCCAGGCCATGCACTGCCGTCTGGACCGCTCGTCCAGCCTCGCAGGAGGAAGGACCCCTAAAACCAAGAGGCCAGCCCTGTGCACCCCAGTGCGAGGGTCACGACCAGGCAAGGCTTGGATGGGCAGGGGCGGCTGCTCTGCTGGGCAAGCCCAGCGGCGGGGGAGCAGCTGGTGGTCTCGTACCCCGCGGCGAGCACAGAGCCTCTGCGCTGTCCCAGCAAAGCCCCGAGAGCTCCTGCGGCAGCACGGCAGCCCTACCTGTTAGCTCCTGAAAGGACTTGTAGGGCTTCCTTCGATACTCATTGAGCGGCTGTAGCCTCAGCTGCCGGGATTCCTTGATGACCCCAATGGCCACTTCCAAGACGTTAGCACTGATGGTTTGTCCCCCACCGATCTGGAGGGAGAGAAGAAAAGGAGGAGCACGCGTGAGGCACGAGGCGGCACCGGCATCTGCTCCAGGGGAGCCGCGGCACGGCCCCACCGCCCCGCGCTAAAGCATCTGTGTCCTGGGCATGGTGTTGGGGAGACCAGCACGTCACCGCAGCAGTGAGAAGAGGGGGAATCGCTGGACATTGCCAAAAAAAAGCTATAGAGCAGCTTTGGGTTGAAGCCAGTCCTGTTCCCAGGGTAGGTCAGGGAACAGTGCAGGAGGAGAAGCCCTGGATGGATGGTGACCCACCAGTCTGGGAGGAGGGGAGAGAGTATGAGGGTTTGGGGTCACAGGGAGAACCCAAACACCCAAAGAGCAGCGGGTCTGCACCTCAGCCTCGCTGCTTTGCACAAGAAAAGATGGTCAGAAATGTAGATGTAATGGCTTGGAAGAAAACATCCATGTGATGGCAGCAAAGAACAGTGCCAGACAGGCTGCTCCACAGCCCAGGCTGGACCAGGAGACCCCAGCTCACCGCAGGCTCCTGGCGTAACCGTGATGTTTACTACAGAGTCCCGAGAACAAGCAAATGGGGCTGCCGAGGCCCAGCCTTGCTACGGTGCTTGTGGGGAGGACTCAGGACGTGCACGTCGGGTGCTGCCCTGGGTAGAAGACTCCAGGTGTGACGGCCACCCGCTGCCTAACAGGGCGGTTCGATACTGGTTTGCTACAGCTGCGCTCCCCGTGCCGCAGGGACGGGCGATGCCTTGGACCGGAGCTTTGCGCAGTGGAAGAAGAGGAGCTCGAAACCCCGCTGCAGCCCTGCGAGCCCCAGAGCTGGGCTCCACCACCCGACAGCGCGGCAGCGTCTGCCTTCACGGTACTATGAGCATCCCTCCCGGGGTCCCGCAGCCCTGGCGCTGGCAGGGAGAGGAGAGCAGGATCTTACCCTTCCTGCAGTCTGCTTGGAAAAGGACTCCACCAGTGCCTCCACGCCATAGTCCATGAGCATGGAGGTGTTGTAGAGGAACTGCTCGTAGCTGTACTCTTCCCCCTGGATGACGAAGGAGTCGGGCATCAACCCATGCCAGTGATAGAGCTGGTTGAACTCCACCGCGATGCGATTCCGGTACTGGAACTGCGTCCCAAACAGCAGCTCGGGATCAAACTTGAGGCTGAGGAAGTATCCGCTGAGATGCTGGACGTATTCTTCAATGACGATCTTAATGGTCTCCCCTGGGCAGGAGGCGAGAGAAGCAGCCATCAGCTGGCAGCAGCAGGAGTCTGTACGCCGAGGTGTTACCCACGCGCTATGGCAGCACGTCCCAGCACCCATCCACCGCCTGGGACCTACCTGACTACGGGCTTGTTGAGTTGGTTGGGAATTTTTCAGTGAATTATTTTTTCATTAGCAAAGGTCAGTCTAGAATCATAGAATAGAATCATAGATGCTTTGGGTTGGGAGGGACCTTTAGAGCTCATCCAGCCCAGCCCCTGCAGTGCCAGGGACAGCTTTAACCAGAGCAGGGTGCTCAGAGCCCCGTCCAACCTGGCCTGGGATGTTTCCAGGGATGGGGCCTCCACCGCCTCTCTGGGCAACCTGTGCCAGTGCTTCACCAGAAGTCAAGACACCAGTCTGCCAAAAGCGAAATGGTTCCTGAGGAAGGTGACCTTGATACGCTTCTTAGAGATAATGTAGTGACATGGGTCTCTTCTGGATTTTGGTCAAAAATGACCTTTCTTGAGATTATAGTAAATTTAGAATAGAACGTTAAAACTAAATAATTCAAAACTACGACAAAATTATTACAAATGAAATGTTTTGATGGACCAAGGCCAATTTTTGCTATACAGACCAAAGCCAACGATTCCCAGAAGGCTGCCAGGGAAACTCCTCCAGCCTCTAAAGCCAGACTGGCCATCACCCTCAAACAGAGACCGACCAACACCCAAGTCCTTGGGGCTTGCCCAGGGAGGTGGGACATGGGGGTCTGTGGTGCCCGTGCCCTGCAGTGCCACCGGTCCTCACCAATAAGGATGAGACGAGCCGTCTGGAAGAGCTGCTCGTCGTTCCAGGTGGGATGCTCCCGTTTCAATATGTCGCAGACGCGGTTGTGCTCACGCAGCCAGAGCGTAGCGTACACGCAGAGCCCCGGCAGCAGCCCAAACACCTCCTGCCCCATCGCCAGCTGCTTCTCCTTGGGGGTGGTGGACGGGTAGACCATGTGGACCAGAGCTTCGGTGACCGTGGGGGGGTACACCTCTCCATCCACCACCTTGGGGAGACAAGAACGGGATGGCAGAAAGGGAGGAGGGGAGAAAACCACCTCGGTGAAAGCCTGCCCAGCTGGGACCTGCCTCCCTACAGGCACCATGGCCGCTCTCCTGCAAGCGCTGAGCAGGACGGAAGCGTCCCCCTCGTACAGCCCCAGCTGTCCCCTATGGGGCTGGGGTCTCCTGATGCTCCTGGGAGTCTCTGGCCCGGCAGCTGCCAGAGGGATGCGGGCTTCAAAAAACCCCGGAGCACAGGGCTGAGACGTGTTTCAGTCGTGCCAGGTGGTACCTGGAATTTCAGCTTCCCGTCTCTGAAGAGCCCCCGTTGGTGCTGCCGCTGCAGGTTGTCCCCGTACAAGTGCCCGAGGTCCACCTGCCAAGAGAGCACGGCGTCAAGGCTGCTCAGAAAGGCCGTGCATGCCCCGATCCCCCTCCTCGCTCCCCACATGCCCCTGTGCCCCCCACTCCAGTGCCCCTAACCCCGTGTCCCAGCGCCTTGGTGAAGCCGCGTCCCATCTTCCCGGACGTCTTGAAGAACTGGTGGGTGAAATGCTGGGCGAAGAAGGCAAACATCAGGTTGGTGCCTCGGGGATCGGCTTCAAACTTCTGCCGCA